ATCATGAACATTAATGTTATCATTATCATTACAGTCATTATCACCATCATTATTATCGTTATAATGGTAATACTATTATCATTACTATCATTATTACTATTTTCCTTACCATTATTATTACTGTAGCAGGGCATAGACCCAGCAGGCTTTAATGTGTCTGGTTGAATTCGGACTCAGTCGAGAATATAGATTTTTATTTACGAAAAAATAATCCTCTGCAGCGAACAGACGTAAGGTTCCGTGGCATCTTGGGGTCAAGTACCGAGATATTTTTCCTCCTCCAGAAGACAGGCCGGCGGTGGACGCGTCCGATGCCTCCCCTCGAGGCAGCTGCTCAGTTCGCCGAATCTAGTGGTTCGCTGCTTTATCTGGAATCCACTATCTTTTTCTGGGCTTGATTTAAGTTTACACACGCACGCACACACACACACACACACACACACACACACACACACACACACACACACACACACACACACACACACACACATACATACACACACACACACACACACACACACACACACACACACACACACACACACACATACACACACACACACACACACACACATACACACACACACACACACACACACACACACACACACACACACACATAGGGAGTCAGTTTTTAAGTTGAAAATTCCTTAACAAAGAATATTATTTTCTAATTTTCCGCTTCTCCCCTTTTTCGGAAGAGAATCAAATTAAACATTTTCAACATAACAGAAAATAAAACATCCTGTAAAAAACATAAACAGCAGTAATTCTTCTTAAGCCAAACCATCTCATTTGACTGTCTATCGAACCTCCATATATTAAATTGTTAACCTTTACACAATTGCTTCGTTGAACCAGAAATGGTAGAGGCTGTTATCAAGCGACCTCTCGGGATATCTGAACATTTCAAAATTTAATGATACAATAGAAAAGGTTTATTATGTGCCAACAGAGTCCTAATCTATGTTGAGTTAACAGGTAGGTTTGTAGTCAGTATTCTCCATAGTTCACTAGATCTTTTCTCTCTCTCTATCTATCTACCTGTATCTATCTATATTTATTTATCTATCTTTACCCAGCTCCTTTCTTTCTCTCTCCTCTCTCTCTCTCTCTCTCTCTCTCTCTCTCTCTCTCTCTCTCTCTCTCTCTCTCTCTCTCTCTCTCTCTCTATCTATCTATCAATCTATCTATCTCTCTATCTACCTATCTGTCTTCATCTATCTATGTCCCACCTACCTTCACCCTTTCCTTGGCTCCCTCCCTCCCCCCCCTCTACCTATCTCTCTCTATCTATCATTCTCATTCATTTTCACTATCTCACTATCTCTCCCTCACTCACTCACTGTCTATCTATCTGTTTGTCTCTCTGTGTCTTTCTCTGTCTGTCTGTCTGTCTGTCACTCTTTCGTTGTCTCTCTATTGGTACTTTACCCTTCTCTCTCACTCTATCTATCTGTCTCATTAATTCTCATTATCTCTCATTCACTTACTATCTATCTGTCTGTTTCTTTGTGTCTTTCTCTGTCGGTCTGTCTGTCTGTCTGTCTCTCTCTCTAGTTGTCTCTATACCTCTCTCTCTCTCCCTCCCTCCCTCTCTCTCTCTCTCTCTCTCTCTCTCTCTCTCTCTCTCTCTCTCTCTCTCTCTCTCTCTCTCTCTTTCTTTCTCTCTCTCTCCCCCCTCCCTCCGCACATGCACACACGTACGCATGCGCACGCACGCACGCACACACACACACACACACATACACACACACACACACACACACACACACACACACACACACACACGCACGCACTCTTCTACAGCCCCTCCTTCCCTTTCCTCTTCCCGCCTCTCACCTTCCATCAGCCTCTGTCCCTTTCCCCCGCCCCTGCTTCGCCTTCGTCGGCGTGAGCTGGGAGGTCCGGGCGCCCTCCCCCCAGCGCCGTGTGACTCGCGAGGGCTCGCCGCTGTTAATATTCATAAAGACGCCAAATGCAAAAACTCGTCGTCACCTGAGCACCCCCCCTCCCCCGCCGCCCCTCCTCCCCTCTTGAGTCCTGTCTGCCTTTCCTCCCCCTCTCCCCTCCCCTCCCCTGCCCCCTGCCCCCACTCCCTCCTGCCAAGCACCCGTCCTGTCTGTCTGCTAATTTGTACGTCAATGCGAAGGGATTCTGAATGTCCGGGCGGGTTCCCTTATTGCATCAACCGCCGGTATGCCACGCCAGGGCGCTCGGCACGGCGGGACTTGATACTTCGTCGCGTTGTGGTCTTCCGCCTCTTCTACGTCCCCAGAGTCGTGTGCGAGGAGGGGAGAGGCCTCTCCCTTCCTTTTCCCTGCATTGGCTACGAATTAAAACGATAATTGAAATAACCCAAAGCTTGCAAGAGCTCTTATCGTCTCGTCCATCCTGGCACAACACACCTGCATATCCCACACTGCCAGACGCAAAACAGACGCTCCGTGTTTAGGGCCACAGGCACGCCGCCTGCTGGACGGGCGTCACTTGTCCTCTA